ACAGTTCAAAGCATTATTAAGAAATTCAATTATGTTCACACACAAAATCTCAAAGGCAAGGAAGACTCAAGATATCACCTTGTATCGCAAGAAAACTAATTTCTACTTGAAACTTGGTTGTACCACGCCATTGATCTACTGGCTTATAACGGTTAGCCCAGGTACCACATGTGACTATATTCCTCAAGAAGGCGTTATATATGTTGTGCAATGGCGATCCACACAAAATCTCAAAATTGCTTCCTCCACCGCAAGGAAACTTAGCTCCCTGTGCCGCGCCAGGAAATTTTTCTCCCCGGAATCGATCCTTCAGATCTACAAATCAACAATTCGCCCTTGCATGGAGTGTTGCTGCCATATATGGTCTGGAGCCCCTTCTGTTTGATTCGGGGTTCTTGATAAGATCCAGAGGCAGATATGCAATATAATTGGCCCTGTTCTGGCATCTCGTCTACAGTCGCTCTCTCACAGATGCGCCGTCGCCTCACTCTGTCTTTTTTTACAAATACTTTCATGGTAATTGCTCCGAGGAGCTGCATTCGCTGGTTCCCAGACTTCATGAATTCAAGCACCCTACGAGGCTGGCATCCCGCTCTCACCCTTTCACTGTCGAAACTGTTAAATGTAGCCGTCTCTTCTACTCCAATAGCTTCATATCTCGTACCTCTTGCGTGTGGAACTCCCTTCCCTATTCCAGTTTCCCTGACAGCTATAATCGCCAACTATTCAAATGTAATGTCAATCGGCATCTCCTCATCCTTTCCTCTATCACTCCTATCTGATCTTGCTCCAAATTTTCTGTAACCCCTTGCGTGCTAGTGGCTTCCCGCCTTGCTTGGGGTGAAACGCTTAAATAAATATATATATATATATATGTGTGTGTGTGTGTGTGTGTGTGTGTGTGTGTTATGCATGGCGATCCACACAAAATCTCAAAGGACAAGGAAGACTCAAGATATCACCTTGTATCGCCAGAAAACTAATTTCTAGTTGAAACTTGGTTGTACCACGCCATTGATCTACTGACTTATAGCGGGAAAGCGTTATATATGTTGTGCAAAGATGGTGATCCACGCCCTGTCCTTCCCCTCCAAAGATTTCTCAGGATAGCAAACATTTGATCGTCTTAATTCTATCCGGTAAAACTACCTTTAATATTATCAACTTTTCGCTCCCACCCTCAGTTATGGGTAAATTGTATGACAGACTGCTTTGGGTGACCACTAGTCTAAGAGAAGGAAAAACTCTGAATACAACATGAATGTAGCCCTGGCGAAACACATACTATGCAGCTAATGAAAGAATCGCTCGCATTGACTTGGTGATTCAGACTCTTCAATGATATCAATAGAGAAAATTTGTTATTAGTTTTACCTTGCCACCTTTTAGAGACGACATACTTCTAATCTAAGTGTATTCAATTGCAAGGATGTCATTTATAGAAATGTTTGTACTTATATGTAAGTGACATAAATTTTATATTTTGAAATAAACTAGTTTGGAGTCACATCACCCACTCAGCGACTTAGGACAAAAAAATAAAAATATTTGAAAATGTTAAACAGATTTTTAAAATAACTTCCTCGATGGTGAACGGAAACTCTATTGTATTTAATGTGTATTGTTTCTTTTGTATGAGAAAAGCGCCACTCATTTTTAGCCTTTCTTTACAGTTCGTGTTATTGTAGTATAGTAGTCTTGTCTACTGGTTTATGTTTCTAACGTCTACTTGCCTTGAAAATCAGTATTACAATAATACGCATATGCATAGACACACGTATATCCAAATCCAAATCTAGAGACTACTACTAACACTTGTTGGCGGAATCTGTCCCTGATTGACGATATCTCCAGAGGTGTAACTTGGACTCACAACAGGAAGAGGGGTCATCGTTTCAACTTAACGCTAAAGAGATCAATTAGAAAAGATCTAACTCAATTCATAAGACGTTTGGAACGTGGGAGAGGAGTTTCCACTATGACAGTCCAAAGAGCAGTGAAAAAAGATTTGAAATGAAATCACACAGGAAGCGTGAGGCACTTCATTTACTCCGGGACGGAAAGTTAGAAGGTTAGAGAGGGCGAAGATCATTTCGGATAATGATAGTGAAATAATATATATATATATATATATATATATATATATATATATATATATATTTTGAACCCTATTTCAATACTTCACGAGCTTCCGATTTATGACTAATTAATGATGAACATGTAATTTTCGTTTATGATCGATTTCCTCACGATACTTCTATGAAGCTTGGAGAGTAATTATACATTCATATTTCTGAAAGTAGATTCCAATAGAATCATAAACAACCATAATTCTAGTAAGATATCTTTAATCATTTCTAAGATACAACGGTTCAGAGGATAATTTAACAATTGGTCAAGTTTGCTGTTACACCCGGTATACACACACACACACACACACACACTCACATATATATATATATATATATATATATATATATATATATATATATATATATATATATATAGTCCTAGATGGAGTCCTTATTCATATTGTACTCTGACAAATATACTTTTTATGAAATTTTTACGCACACAAAGTGATTCAAAAATGTAATTTGATCATTTTTGGAGATGTGGGTCACGGCGAGAACTTTTCACCACCTCACCAAATATATATATATATATATATATAGAGAGAGAGAGAGATAGATAGATAGATAGATAGATAGATAGATAGATAGATATTAGTGGTCAATATATATATATATATATATATATATATATATATATATATATAATTATTTATTTAAAAATATGATTCCAACACGCTATATAAGAGTTTCCATGTTTCAAAACAAGACCCGAAAGCTTCAATATAATTTGAATTAAATTGAATTAAAGTACTAAGCTCTGTTCCATCCTAGTACTTTAATTCAATTTAATTCAAATAATTATATTGAAGTTTTCGGCTCTTGTTTTGAAAGATGAGAACTTTTATGTAGCGTGTTGGAATCATATTTTTAAATAAATACTTATATTTATGCTCTACTTTGTATCGAGCACTACTTTTTAAAAATAATAACAAAAATACTAAAGAACATTGGATTATTTACCTAACGAGTTCTTTCCTATTTTCTATATATTTTTCATATATATACATATATATATATATATATATGTAAATTCCCAAGAGGACAGAAACTGAATAGAAACAGGTAGAACTGAATGTCCAGGACAGAGTAAGTATATAATATAAATGGCTCAAACACTAATCATGATCCAGCTCATCAGAGCTAGTTAGGTCTGATGAATTGGATTGTGATTACGATTGCAATGTAATAAATTATAACCATTATATATATATATATATATATATATATATATATATATATATATATATATATATATATATATATTCGCTCTTATATAAACTATTTATATATTGGTGTCTAGCACACTAACTCCCGAGTGCACTATCTCAGTCTATCCCATTTTTCTCTCCTCTCCATATCCAAACTAAACTTTCTCTTCCTACTTGGACGATTGACGCAGTACAATCTTACTTCTACCCTTATAACCAGTGCGTGTCACCTATAATTCACAATTACCTATGCCAGATGTACATGCTCATTGACTGAAACGGTAATGAAAGTACAAATGACAAGAATGACGTCACATTAAAGCCTCACCCCAATTTTCTCAGAAAAAAAGAAAATAATAAAGGTCGTTATTTCTTAGATCTTCCCACTGACTTTAAGGAGGGAACAAAAAATGTGTCGTGTCTATTTACATATAGTTTTTACCACAAAACTATCACAGCTTGAACTGGGTTACTCGGCTCAAATGCTAGAGAAGTAGTCATTAAATCTAAGATATCCAATCTTTGGCCCATATATTTTGACCTATTATCCCCACCCCACAAATCATTCCGCAAATCTCGTCTGCAGTCGCTCTCTCACAGACGTGCCGTCACCTCCCTCTGTATTTTTTACAAATACTTTCATGGTAACTGCTCCGAGGAGCTGCTTTCGCTGGTTCCCAAACTTCATGAATTTAAGCGTTCTACTAGGCTGGTATCTCGCTCACACCCTTTCACTGTCGAAACTATTAAATGTGGCCGTCTCTTCTACTGCAATAACTTCATGTCTCGCACCTCTCGCCTGTGGAACTCTCTCCTCTTTCCCTGTTTCCCTGATAGCTATAATCTCCAACTATTCAAATGTAATGTCAGTCGACGTCTCCAGATGCCTTGATCTATCCCCTATCCTTCTCTTCATCCTTTCCTCTATCACTCCTATTTGCTCTCGCTCCAACTCTCTGTAACCCCTTGCGTGCTAGTGGCTTCCCGCCTTGCTTGGGGTGAAACGCTTATAAAAAAAATCTAGAAAGGAAATTTGCTTTCTGATCGTTTTATGGCGAAGAAGAGCGTAAATCTCATGAAATATTTTATAGAGACGAAAACAGTTTTTATTGATTGTTTGTGTGCTTGATTCGTTTACAGTGGGACAATAAGCACAGGTGTCACTGTGCTCATCAATGTGAACGACGCCAGTACACTCAAAATCTCGTTCACGATGACTTCATGCTACCACAGCCATCGACATCTGTCAAAAAGTTTTGAGTCGACCTGTGGTGTGGTTGTCAAGCACTTCCCAGGTATTAACAAGAAAAATATCTCCCTGAAAATATTCGAACCTCGGTCTCATGAGTGACTCGTTTTATCAACCCTTTCAACGATTTATCAACCCTTTCGATAACTTATCAACCCTTTTCAAGTTATTTAAAGTCAGAAGATATTTATTTTAGATTTTGAGAATTTCTTCTTTTTTTAAATAATAATGGTTTTAGTGATCAACTCTTACTAATTAACCCATAGCTTGTGGCAGAAGAGGTGGATTCATGCCTTTCCCAAGGATATTTGTGCGTAAGTGGATATAACGAATTCAACTAGAATTGGAACTCGGCTCTCCGATTAACAATTCCGAGCCATTATGCATTACATCATTTGCACATCCAAGCTTACAGCAGCTGGTATTTCCCAAACGGTTACCCATCTACGTACTGACCAGGCTAGACTTTGCTTAACTTCGAGGACGGTACGGGAATCGGTGTTTCAATGTAATATGACCGTACACCAAAAGAACCTTGAGAGAACGCGAAATTGAATTTGTATTACATGTGAAACTGAGTGTGTTTTATCGAGAATCCACAGACTTTTATTGGATTTTTAACAATTTCATTTTGAATCAGTAGATTTTTGTCAAGATACTGTACGATCTAAAAAAAGAAAAGAAAAGAAAATGGCCTTATGATGCGCATTCACTCAAGTGTTAGCCAGGCAAATCATGGCAACCAAAGCTGAAAAATCATTTTCCGATTAGTTTTTATTTTAGACATCTGTATATCATTGCTATCATTGGCTCCTCAGAACCCTGATCTCAAAATTACTGAAGCAGTGTGCGATAGTCTTAACAGAATGGAACAAAAGTAGCGAATATCCAAGGAAGAACTTTGGAATGTCCTTCAAGAATCCGGAGAAGTATTCGTTAAGATTCTTTAAAGTAATTACAAGAAAGCATGCCTAAGAACATTTAAGTCTGATTGAAAAATAAAGATGATCATACAAAATATTAACTTCCAAGCTCGTTAGAATTGTATAAATCTTGTTTTTATCTCTGTGTGCCTCTTGTATTTCCATACGTTTCCATCAATCGTAAATTTATTAAAGATACTAATTTATTAAAGATGTTAATATTAACATATTAGAATATATTCAGTGACTTCCATTATTCCGTCCGTCTGTTGAACCCTCTAAAATAGACAAACATTGACTGATCGAGATGAACTTTTGGGGAGAAGTGCAAACAGGGAAGAGGTTACAAAATACATTTAGTTTTATGAGGGTGTGTCGCTTAGTAAAATAAATTTTCATTCGTTTTGGAGAAGAATTCAAAAGCTTTTATTATTTAACATAGAGAATTATCCCGCTTTTTAAAAAAAAATTTAATGGTTTAAATAAAGAATATTTATTTATGTTTTTTGCATATGTTTCCTTTAAGTTTTTTTTTTTTTTTACAAGAATCCAGTTTTCAGTTCGCCTTGCGTTTCCGAGAACTATAAACAAATGACAAGACCAAGCGTTTTAAAAAGTTGGAATTTGGCTTCAGAAAGAACTATTTATGCATTGTCAGTTGTATATTGCATGTTCAAGAGTAAGAAATCCTAAGAATTTATTCTTCGCTGTTAAAAAGGAAAAAAGGAAAAAAATAAATTTTCTTAAAAAATATTGTTTACCATGAAGTCCTATAAAATTAAAAAGTTATTAAAACGCGAAATAGTTAGCAATAATTTCAACAATACTAAATACTCAGAAGATTTGACGTGTTGCCAAAAAAATCTAGTCATCTAATTTAGTGATCCTCAATTGGAAAAATACGGAAAGAAATTCTACATATATGGCTAAACTCAGCCACCTCAACGTGGTACAATGGCTAGCCAGTTTTTCTTGCTAAGAACAATGACGACTGAGTAGTGAGTTCGATCCTCACCGGTTGCGCGAGATCTTCGGCCTTGACCACATATAACTTATATTTAGAAAATAGCCATATATTGTTAGGTGAAGAAAACGTATTCTGGTGTTATAATTGAAAAGTGGGGACTGTTTTAGCTCGAAGACTTCGCAGTGTTAGCGTAACGTTACGAAAACGTTGCAGATAAGCAGCCAGTTTGGGTTCAGGAAAATAGTTGATTGCAGAGCCAGAACGTCACCCTCTCCCCCATATACCACTCAATAAAAATACAACGTATCAGCAACGTTACTATTTAGCTGGGTAGACAAATTTAAATCCAGACATTATCAAATGAAACCGTTTCGATTCTAGCAAAATAGAAGTAATCTTGAGTCGTGTCAACATAAATTTGCTGATTGGGTCCCTAAAATACGATTTGTCCCAAATTGTTCAGTCGTCACTTTCCTGTTTCGATAGAGTCATAAAGCGTCTCCGCGGTTTTGTGGGTGATGAATTAATTTCCACCCTACAACCTCTTTCCTGCAAACAAAAATGTTGCAAGCTTCTTGCAGCTCTATTGTTATTTTCATGAAAAGTGTTCAGACGAACTACATTCTTTAGTTCCACCACTTCTAACCTTCACAGATAAGACCGCCCTGCCTCGCCCATTGTAGCGAGCCACCTCCATTCCCTTCGTATTCCATTAGTGAGATGGAAGTTCTACTCAAGCAGATTCCTCCCACCTACCACTGCTTTGTGGAACCGACTTCCGAGAGGATGCATTCTCGATCATTACAATTTAACCTATTCAAGTTTACGGTTACCGTTATCTTCCCCACATATCTTCATAAACTGTGCCTTTTTGTTTTGTAATCCTCTTAAGCCTTGTACAGGATGAACATCATTCTAAAAAAAAGGTGACATTGGAACCGTTAACAACCTTTTATCATATGGCAACACATATCTCCTCACACGTGCTATTTCCCTTGTGCTGAAATATGCAAATGAACTCAAAAGATTGAAACCTATGCCTATATACGCATCGTCCTATTAACACTTGAACCTCGGGGAGAACCAGAGAAAAAAAGACAAACATCTCGAAAAATCGCAAAAAACTGATATTTAAAAAAAACAAACAAAGCAAAACAAAACAACATCAAGTAAAACTAAACAATATAATCACTGGGCGTTGTATATTTAAAAAATAATAATATCAGGTGAATAATGACTTTGTTTTTTCGGTTGGTATTTCGTCGCAGAGTCGAGTTACATCTTAGAATAAAAAAACGACAAATCTCAGTAAATGAAGGAAATTAGTTTTTATGTTATTAGACTTGATTTCGTTGACTGGCATTTGCTCTTCTAATTCTCTGCGTCAAACTAGGGAGGTTTGTGTGTGTGTTTCTGTATTTGTGTGTATATATGTGTGTGTGAGTTTGTATCTGTGCGTATGTTTGTGTGGGTGTATCTGTGATTGTGTGTGTGTATGTGGGGCGGCTCATGAGGTTGATGTATGTGTTTGTTAGTGTCAGATAAGAAAATCTTAGTGCAGAACAGATTTTACTAGCACCGTCTCGTAGATTTCTCTTCATCTCATTACCGACAAGGTACGTATGTTGATCTTTGTCAGATGCCGTGTAGGTTAATGAACGGTGTTAGAAAAATGTACCTTATCTCGCAGGCTATTTATAAGGATAAATGAGTTCAACTTGGAGCTCACTTGTTGAAGCAATGTGCCAGACTTGGCAATACAAAAGAATAAATTGAACAGAAGCAAATAAATCTATATTTGTGTATATAAGGTACAATTATTTATTTATTTACTAATGTTCACCTGTACAAGGCCCAAGAGACACTCGTGGTAGATGGTTACTGAAGGCGGTTGTTTTGTGTGTCGTAAGAGTAAGGGGCGCCGTTTATATGGATATGTGGGAAAGATAAAGGTTAACCATACACTTGAAGAGGTTTAGGTTGGCCGAGAATGCAACCTCCTGGAATTCTTGGGAAGAAGCTATCCGAGTAGTACTTACTCCTTACTAGTGAAATACGACGGAAATGAGAGCAGGGGAGGGGTCGCCTTAGTGTACGCAGTATAGCGAGTGTTGGGGATAGATTTTGAGAAATGAAGGAATGTAGCTGGTCTGAACAATTTCAAATACTCTGCTATTCGCGAACTCAGTGGAATGGCGGTCATACATATGGGTAGTTCAATGTCCTTTTCCTCAGTTACCAAAGTGCCATTGTCGAGATATTTTGACCAAAGAGACTCACTGGTTAGTGTGATAGTTCCTAATTTATATTTCCAATATTAAATTTTCTCTTGATTTTTCTTTGATTTTTCTCTTGTCACATGTTATAAAGGCCAATGGACGCAACATCTTGCTACCTATTGCATCAAGCTATTCTTGAATAGATTTTATTTAAATTTATAATAAAATGTTCACTTCTTGTAAGCATCTAAAAACTGTCTATGACCCCACTTATTATAATAACTGAGGGAGAGGGCAACACGCCAACAAAATGAAAGTATAGTAAGTCCCCTAATATACCCAGCATGACACCTATTCCGACAGTTGTATAGCAGGTTTACAGGTATGGAACTAGTTTAAAGAATTGTAGAAAAATGCAATATATTTAAGTTATATTACTAAAACGCAAAATTAACTTATTTTTGTACAAAACATCGTCTCCTATTTGAATTTACACATATTAAACAATCCGTGTCGTTATCACAACGCGCTGACACCTTTGAAATTTTCAGACGCCTGCGTTTATCGTCTGCTACGAAAATTGGACGATCACTCCAGAAAATGATCAACAATAGTTTCCTTACTAAAAATAGATATTTACAATTGAGTTTAGTAAAATCTAAATTTTATATTTCTCAAGCCTAATTATTTCTTATATCTATTTGTAATGTCAAGTTAGTTTTTCTGTAAACATTTGAACAGGTTCGGTTGTTCGCTGCTGCGGACAATTCTCAAAACATTTCGCATATTTACTCAAGGATACTTTATTACAAATGCTTAGCGACGTTAAATTAAGCACATTTAGAACATACGAACCGAGTTATTGTCATCGCATATTTTAGCAGTATTAACACAATTTTCTTGGCCTGCTGGCGTACTGACTACTACAAAATTATACGCATTCATAAAGTAAAGTAAATATGTTACACTCTCTTTATGCAGACACATTCAGTTTCTGTTATCAAACTAAAGAAATTGAATCGGTTGTAGCGTGAAGAAATAAAACCAAAAATATTTTTGTGCTAAGGTGTTTCGCAAAGATTCTTTGTAATTTGTTTCTTTCAATTTGAAAGAAAACAAATACTCATTAACAGAATTTATTTAAATTTATAAATCCGTGTTTGAAGATCATTTATTTTTGTCGCTTTCACATATGTATCACATATGTATCACTGCCAGATGTGCACGTTATTGTCAAATTTTAATAAAAGCAGCACGTAAGTTTGAAGTGGAGACCAGTTAAAAATATATTCAGGTTTAGTAACCCAGTACGCTCAGACGGTTTATGATTAAAAAGCGATGTTAAGTAACCAGACGTGACTCCTGAGTTTCCTAAGTAAAAGCAACCCGCAAACATGATGCTCGCCCATAATC